TTCAGTATCTTTGTCTATGAAACAGAGACAAACACCTATTCACTTAGTCATTATGATCAAATAATTTATGTGAAAGTACTTCACAAACTTTAAAATTATAGGTGAAGTATTAAGTTTTTAATATTTATTGTTTATCAAAACATTTTCAGCACTGACTGGTTTTTGATGTAGTCTAAAAAAGAACATCAGAAATAAATTCCTATATGAAAATGCCATAGCACACTCCACAAAAAAAAAAAAAAAACTTTACTTCAATTATTACACTTAAGGCAGTCTGCACACATGACAACAGCAGGTTCCACACACATCACTTACACAGCAGCATGTGTCCTTTGTTTTGGGGGCCTTTTTCTATGACATAATTGACATCTCAGGGGTCTTACTTTTTGTTTTTATTATACAGTATGTAGTTAACAGGAACATAAAATATCAATAAATTATTAAATTCCTAACATACAATATGCATTTAGAATAGGCATCAACATTTTCACATTATCTTGCTTACAAAAACTACACTTACATCATATGTACTTAGCTTTCTTTTCCTACTTGGCAGTATTGTCACTTCTCTTCCTGTGTTTTTGTTTTTGTTTTTTTTCCAGCAGTTTCCTATATATTGTATAATATGCACTTGGCAGGGCAATAAGGTATCAATAAAATAAAATATCAAATGTATAGTAAGTCAGCATGGTGGCACATGCCTATAATCTCAGTATTCAGGAGGCTAAGGCAGGAAGATTATTGTAAGTTTGAGGCCTACCTAACTGCATTCAGACCTTGTCTCACAAAAACAAAAAAAAAAAGAAACAAAAAGTACAGAATGCTTGTAACACACATCAACATTTTCACATAATCTGTGTACTTGCTTATAAAACCTAAAAGGAAAAAAAAAAAAACTAAAAGATAGTATCAGAAATAAAAACCTATGCAAACTACAACATAAAGACAAACAAAAATCTACCACAGAAATAAGCTTGGCTTCAACTCACTCCCAAGGCAGTCTTCACACATAACAACTGCATGTACCATACAGAAGTATCGCTTACATTGACAGCACATATGCTTTGTTTTCCTGTAGTCTGTTGCAGGGCAAAATGGACAACTTTTTGGTTTTCCCGTTGTAGTAAATCTTTGTGATGCTGTACCTGCACTGGTTAGCTCACCAGTGTGTTCCACAATCATTTTGCAGTTTCCTGAGCAGAATCATTTTGTTTCCTCTGCTGTAAGTGATCTCTTATGAATTACAGTTCCAATCCTCTAAGAAAACTTCTCTGTGATATTTTGCACTTGCATCAAACTATACCATAAGTAAAACACAACCACTGGATCAACTCTTGTGTTTTAAGTGGCATCATAGTTGCTGCGTAACTCATCAAAACATCTACTCCACCTTCACTTTTGTTGTACAAAGTTTCCATCTCAGGCTTCTGTTTCATTGAGGTTTCCCCATCAGCATTTCCATCATGGTGAAATGTTGGCATCAGCAGTACTAGTTTGTTTTTCTTTGTCACATATATGTCAATGTTATGTTTCTGAAATCCAAATATTGTACTCTATAATTCTCTTTTTTGAAATGGCAACATTTTACTTGGAATTTCTGCTTTGTTTTTGTGTACAGTTCATGCACTGGTCAACTTGTGCTCTGTTAGTAAATGTAACATCAATTCAAAACTGGTAATTTCCTATTGGAAACCAAATGTCAATGTCACATTCTAATTAGTTTGAGAGATGGGCACAATAAGGCTGTTCACAGCATCATTTGATATATTATTACACAAATAAAAACTTGATGGCTGAGTTCCAGAATAAATACTTAAATCGAAATCATAAGTTTTTGCATTTACAAGGGCATAAATTTTCATGCTATATTTTGACCCATCACTTTTCCAAGTCTTTCACATTCCTGTGATCACCATGAGAAATCTCTGCTAAGTGCAGCAGACCTATGAATGCTTTCAGTTCAGCTAGTGAGGTGTCATAATATGCATTTTTGAACATGTACATACGTATAAGCACCTTTGTATTGGTGCTTACCTGAACTTCAGCCTTTGTGTATAGTAGTATTTTGATTGTTTCTTGTATTTTTATTGTTTCAATTTTCAACACAGAACAGCAGTATTGCCATTCTATCCAATACATCTTACCCCTGTCAAAACCCTTCTTGTGTTTCTTGGACCTAGTTCTAACATTGGATCATTCCATTTGGTTGCAAGGCCATTTTGCAACATTTCAACCAGTCAAATATGTACTCACATTGCTCTTTTCTTCATCTGAATCAAGGAGGTCTGTATTCCCTCTGTTTGTATCAGTTGACTCATGCTCCATTTCACTGCCACAAGCTCTCATGGCCAACATCAAAGTAGTAATCATGGTCATCTTCTTCATGATCACTGTCCACCCATACCACTCTTCTGCTATGAAAGCAGGTATTTTACCACAATGGATCACCTTCATCATCCATGTATGAGTAATCTGATGGTTCACTTTTGATGTCCTCCAAAACTTGCAAATCTGATTTTTCATGTGCCATTGTACTGAACCAGGCTACTTAGGCTGAGGCTGCTCTGCAATGCAGCAGTTGAAACACAACCAGAGTTCACTCATGCTTTCAATTTAAGATATAAATGAGAACCAATGATGGTTCCAAATTTCACTTCTGGAAGCTTCACAAGGTATGGTCTTCAACATAAGAAATGTCCAATCCAAGTAACAATTCTATTTCACTGTGTTTTGCTCTTGGAAGCCAAACTTACATAGTCATTCAAAGCAACAATCAGGTTGCTTTCTTGTTTTGCTTCTGATTCTATATACTCTTTTCAGAACCAGAAGAAAGGTATAAAACTGCTGACATGACCCAAAGCCTATGGCAAGTAGCTACTCCTCATTCACTTAGGTCTGAGCTGAGAACATTCCATGTTATACACACAGATGACTCACAGACTCATTACCAGAAGTTGTTCCTTGACAGTCTCTTCATTTAGGCTCCAGGTTTCACTCAAAATAGCCACCAACGGAGCCGGGGAGATGGCTCAGTAGGATAAGCACTTGACTGGCAAATGCCAGGATCTGAGTTCAAACCCCAGTTTCGCAAAAAAAAAAAAAAGCCACCAATTCAGAACTGACCCTATCCTCATCTTTGTCATAGTTGCACACTCCTGTCTCAGCCATTTTCCACCCTGAAACCACAGCATTATCAAAATACCATGGTGCATTACTATGTGAAATAATTTTGCTCACTTTTTACTGTGGAAAATTTCCCAGATATGAATTTAGAAATATGCTTTTTATTTTGATTGGACACGAGTAACTTTATTTAAAAATTTGTTTAAAGATATATTTATTGAATGACATTGTTCCACTTCACTTTTTACTCCTCAGTATAAATTAGGTAACATTTTAGTTTCACTATTGTAGGAGGAAAAAAAAAAATCACTTCTCACTGGCCATTAGTATTTTCTCTGCTCTCAAATCCCCATACACCATATGTATTTTTGTGTCCCTACAATTTAATTTTCAGGCATTGCTCAATCCTTTTCAGACAAAACTTATTAAAAGTTTTCTTGCCTAGCTGGCTGTGGTGGTGTATGTCTCTAATCCCAGCATTTGGGAGGCTGAGGCAGGAGAATCACCTTGAGTTGAAGGTCAGCCTGGACTACATAGTGAGACCCTGTCAAGAGAGCGTGCAAGACAGAGCAAGAAAGAGCAAGAGCGAAAGTTTTCCTAACCAAGTGGTTCCCAAAGTTGTGATGGAGTATAGTGTTCTTAGAATAATAAAAGCAAAGGTTCTCTCATAGTTTGTTCACTTTCCCCAAAGATGAAAAAAGGCATTTTAAAAATGAGTTATAAAAGGTAGTCAAAATGGATAGGAAAAGGAAAATGATAGATGAAAAATCTCTAGAAAAAAGGAAGAATTCTTTTTTGTTTTGTTTTACTTGTAATGTATTTAGTACAGGGCCTATCGGGTCTCACTACGTAGACTGGACTCGTAGTCATCCTCCTGTTTTCAGCCTCACAAGCACTGTGATTACAGGTGAGTGCCATACACCCAGTCTCAGTCCCAGTCTCAGCATATCCTGGGGGTGGGGACAGCACAGCACACAGAGGATCGAACCCTGGCCACGGCACTCTGCCTAAGCAGGTGCTTTAGTCTGCTGAACTATCTGGCCGGTCCAGAACTCTGTTTAATAATAGTATTGAACTTGCACTGAAAGATCAAAAAGAAAAAAAAGAGCCAGCTGAACACTAATGCTCAATTTAAATTGCTTTAGATTTGAATAGCCAAAACATTAAGTTTATATACCTATAAAATAGTGGAGCCTCGTACAACAAACATATATTCTTCACAAATAACTTCCAAGAAAAATGTATATAAAGCATACATAACATCTTAAGTAATAAATCATATGAAAAATAATCACAATGTTAATTTACATTTAGGATCAAGTTCATCACGATCTTTCCTATACTGGCATATTAAAATTGATTATTCACTAAAAAGGAAAAAAAAATCTGGAAGTAACTATCAATTTAATAATTTAAAATTGAGTTTGGTTACTCAAGTAGATGCCACTAGAACTTTATTATTTTCAGGATTCTTATTTCATCATTTATGAGCCTCTGAGTAAGTTGAAGTGCTTCAGAGAAAAAAATGCTGCAAATTTTTAAACGTAAAGCTGAAATCCCATTCCTAAACATTTGCTAATGCAACAGTTTATAGGCTAGTACTGACCAATCCCAAACATCAATCAAGAATTAACAAAAAATAATTTATGCAACTAAAATGGTAGTATCTACTAATCAAAATAAATTAGAAACTAAAATTCCTTTATATCGACAACTTCCCCCTTTATATTGACAACTTACATAAACAGATTTTTAAAATTTAATACTGTTTAACTTACTTAGCCAGAGATATAGCTCATCAGCACAGTGCCTGCCTGGCAAGCACAATTTCCTGAATTCAATTCCCAGCACCAAAGGAGGAGAACAAAAAAACTTACTTAAACAAGACCTTTTTCCAGCTGTACTTGCACCACCAGAACACAAATTGCCTCCTCTATGAATCAATTCAAGTTCCAAATTGGTTCTGTAAGTCAAGCATTAAAACATATTTCAGTTATTAGGTTGCAAAGATTCTTTTTAGTTTGCTTTATTGATATTATTAATTTCCCAAGTTTATTACTTGTAAATATGCAACATTAGTAATAATCACATTTTATCTGATATTTAAAAATGAAAAGGGAACAACTTATACATAATTATATGTACATATTTATACCTGCAAAAAGCTGCACACGTCACCATGTCATTGTTGTAAAATCCAGCTGTAGGCAAATATTAAAAACTAGACCTCAGGAAAAAAACTTATTTCACAAGTCTCCATATGAATCTGATGGAAGAATTTTTACTCCAACGTCTACCACTGAATAAGTAGTTACTAAAATGCAAGGGCATACCAATTTTCCTATGAGAGAAATGGTATCACTCATTGGAGCTTACATGTTATTTAAAAATCAACAAAAAGAAACAAAATCAATGTCGAAGTGGCTATGAATAAAATACATAAATAAAATACATAAATAACAGCACTCTCTTATGGACTTCTAAAATTATAGTATTAAAATACAGTATTTATTGACATTGGAAAACAGTATGTTCATAGAATTTGAAAGTGCAAATTATATAATAACAGAAAAGCAATGATTAGTGAACTGATGTTTCAAAAATCAAATTATTGTGAAAATCTAAAGACATTCAAAAACAGTAAAAGAACAAATTGTGCTAAGATAAATAAAGTTCTGGTTTATAATTTAAGCTGTATTTTACTTTATAAGTACTTACAAGTCTTTTCCTACAACTAAAACTTAATTAATTAATTTATAGCAAAGATACGCATTTGACACTAATAATGAGATATCTTCCCCCTTAAAAAAAATGCTAATTTTTAAGTTTACTGTTTTCAAGTGAACCAAAGAGACTGTATCTTACTTAAAACATTTAAAATTGGTTTTTGATTCTATTTTGAACACAGAATGTTTTGAAATAATATTTTCATTTACTTACAAATACAAACTGGTAAAAAATATTAATATTCCTAAGTCTGCACATGGCCACCCATTTCTAAAGGGATGTTTTAATCCTTTCTCTTGGGGAAGAGAAGCAATTACACTGCTAATGTTCCCGCTCAGAGCTCCATCTGTCTGCTGCTGATAAGGCCTCTGTGTGACCAGGGATTTTCCACCCTTCAGCGATTTGCATTGCTCACTGAACTTCTAAAAACCTACCAGCAAGGAAGCAGGGACAAGGATTTCATACTAGTGGACAGAAAGCGAGCGGAGACCAGCATGTGTTCCTTCATCAAGGGAATAGAAATGAGATCAATACATTTTGTTTTCACAAATCTTCTGTTGCCTAATCTGTAGAAAAAAATTAATGGCTATATTCTCTTACAAAAACTAAGATTTCCTAGATAGTACTTTTAAAGGTGCTAACTAAAAACATGAACAATGCTTCAAAATGAATGTTAGAACCAGGATGTCACCTTTTATTTCACCATACTTGCAAAAATATTCACTAAAATATAAGAACAATTCTGTTTATTCAATCACCAAATATGATACTTTAGAGAATAACAAATATGTTATAAAGAATTTCATTTTAGAGGATACTTCAAACTAGTAAATTTAACGTATTATTTCAGATAATATTTGAAAGATCTCTTACTGCACAAAATTCCTTCGGTGTTAAAAACAAAAACTATCTAACCAAAGTGTTAATATGTAATAGCCATAATTTTAAAAGCTCGGCCCTACCCATCAACATGTTCTTACTTCATTTACAAAACACAAAACGGTCACCTGTCACTGGCTTTTTTCTGGAGTTTTTGTTTATTTGTGCAAAACTAGGAATTGAACCCAGGGCCTTAACATTGGGCTAAGTTGCTCAGGTGGGGCTCAAAATTGCACTCCTCTTGCCACGGTTGGGCACCCCACACTGTTGAAAATCACAGCACAATACTTTGTTTCTATCTTTCTGAATGTATAGTGCAAAAATAAAGTTTTACCTGTACTTTTGTTCTTTTTTTTTTTTTTTT